CACAGGTATTGGAAAATAGGAAAACTTAAGGAATCAACACATATGCAAAGGCCGAAAAATTTCCTAAGACGGCCAGGCAGAGAAATGAAGACAATATAGGAACCACTAATAAGGAGTGCTAAAGAAAATGAATAGGAGGTTCATTTCGAAATACCAGTCACCTGAAGATGATCACAGCGTATAACGCCCGAAACGTCGTGAATATGGAAAAAAAAAAAAAGATGAAGTCAACAGTAGGAATGTAGATAATTATAATAATCTCGTTTGAGTAACTAGTATTATTATGGACCCAGACTAGATAGAATTAAAAGTCTAAGGTAAAGTTTTAGCGTACGGTAGTGAGTGTTGAATAGAATGATAGTATTGGCATATAAGACGCAGGGTGAATTTTTTAGTCATTTGCTTTTGACAGCACTGCGTCTTATATGGATTCAAATAAGGTATATAAATGTTAAAAAAAGAAATCAGTTAAATCTTTTAAATACAATTCAGTTCTCGGTCACAGGATATTTTAGCTCTTCTCGCGAAAATTCCTAGTTGCATCGTCGAAACACTGCGCATGCTCCACGTTCGTAGTCAATGCACACAAGGGTACAATACCGATTTAAATTTTGGGAAGATCAAAACAAGCATGGAGACAACTATGAATGGCTGTGGTTTGTGGATGAAAACTGGCTTACCTTGCTGATGCTAATTAATCAACTAAGTTGTACACCACGTGTAAAATCTAATTCTTCGACCATTAAGATTTCGGCAATCACGAATTACACGAGATCACTAAATGACGTCTAAATGCCAACTGAGTAAACTCACGCCCCAATGTTTGTTTATGCATGCGCAGTTAGGTTCCTCATTAAATGTCGCTCATTTATATCAAGTCCACACAGCTGGTTATAAAGATTTGATACCTTCCGAAAAGCTGATCTGATACGAAATTTTAGGATAAAAAACTAAAGATATGTACAAGAATCCGAAGGAATATTTGAAACCCTGTCTTATTTTCAGGCCATGAATAACATGTTTAGTTTCACTCCTCCCTCACAAAATGCGTAAATAAAATCAACCAAATATTTAAGTGTAATTATCTGAATTTTGTTTTGCTGTTTTGCAATTTTAAATATTTGAGCGAAATTATTTTTTTAATTTAAATGTTTAAATTAAATTGTAATTGCTTTCTAATTTAAAACATTTTTTGTTTTAATGTAAAATATTTAAATTGATTGTTTTATTTTTAATTTTTTAAAATGTTTTATGTGTAAGTGTCCGTTTTTTTTTAATTCGAAATGTTTACGTGAAAATATATTTCTTTTTATAATTTAAAATGTTTAAATTAAATTATCATTTTTCTTAATTGTAAAGATATATTTTTTGTTATTTAAAATATTCAGGTAAAATGATTCGTTTTTTAATAATGCAAAATCACTAACAAGAACTGTCAGTTATTTTTTGTAATATATGCTTAATTGTAATAGACATTTTTTTTGTTGTTATTCAAAATATTAAAGGGAAATTGACAGTTTTCTTAATGCGAAAACGTATCCTTTTTTATAATTTGTATAAGGTCTTGATTAAGTAAAGTTGTAGTTCGAGCTAAGTAAAATGGACATTGCATGCGCAATAAGGTCCTTCACTAATTATCGCTCATTTACATCAAGGCCGCACAGCTGGTTCTCTAAATAGCCATAAAGATTTGATACCTTCCAAAAAATGATCTGAGCCGTAATGCAAAATTTTATGATAAAAACCTAAAATCCGAGATTTGTTTCGATTATTTGAAACCCTGTCTTATTTTCAGGCCAACAATATTTTAATTTAACTCCTCCCCCATAAGTATCTTCTTCTTTGGACTGTGTATGGGTAAAGACGAGCTTTCTTCAATTGTTTGACGATATCTGTAGTTGCAAGACAGCGAAAATTCGGGAAATCCATCTCTTTGATTTCAAATTTAGCCCCGCATTCTTCGAAGACAGAAAATCTGACAAGAATCGTCCTGAATTCAAGTATTTCTGCCCGAACGACTTCACCAAATTCTTTCAACCGTTATCCTGACCTAAAAATCCGGGAGGGAAATTCTTTCGGCTCCAGTTCCCGACTCGAATTGGTTCTGAAGTTCCATCTGTCTTTAACATTAGCCTTTCCCACTTCTTTCGTTTCTCAACCCTTTTTTTCCCTTTCCTTCTTTCTCTCTGTTCATTCTTTCGTTATTTTCTTTCTTTCTTTTCATTCGTTTTTCTTTCATTCTTTCTCTTTATTTTTTTTCTCTCTATTTTTTTCCTTTCTTTATCTTTTCGTTTTTTTCAAGCATATTTTTATTACTTTTTACATTTATTGTTTCTTTCATCCAGTTCTCTTTAATTCTCTCGTTCTTTTTCTCTAACATTTCTGTCTTTGCTTTCTTCATTCTTTCATAATTTATTGTTTTTCTATTTCGTTTATCTTGCTTTTCATTCATTCAACCATTTTTGCCCCGTGGATGTCTTTGGCAATGTTAGCAATCTTTGCAGTATTTTATTTCATTTTCTTCTTGATTTTCGGATTATAATTATATTATTATTATCATTGTTCCTTTTTCCTTTAACTTATTTAGAATTCTAGTTTATTATGTATTCCATACTGATTTGATAATTTCCTACATTCTTTAACTTTCATGTGTTTATTCATACTGTATTTATATATCTGTTATTTGTTCCTTCCAGTTGATAGCTTATATTTTGTATTTTGTTTTCCTACGCTTAATAATTTTAAAAAATATGTCAAAATATTTTCATGCTACAAAGACCCGTGAAAATTTCATGGTTTTCCTATGCCGATATTTTGATCAATCTTAATTCTGATGTTATTGAGGGAAAACCGCATGGTAAGTTCTACGACAATAAAATATATCCGCCTGTCTCATTGTTAAATATTTGAGCCTACAATTTTAACATAATATTACAATAACAATCATTGATATGAATGGTGGTCGTTATCTTAAGAAGTAAGGGGGTACAAAAACTCCAATATCTTGGAATTATCCTAAAAGAGGACGGAAAGTGCGATAATGAAATCCGAAGGCGCATTGGGTTAGGGAAAGATACTTTCCCAAAATGAAGAAATGTTAGAAACCAAAAAGAGTACTGAAGTGTTACGTGTTACCTGTCCTCCTATATGACAGCGAATGCCGGACAATCGCCTCAAAAATGAAAAGATACTTGTAACAACAGAAATGATGAGCTAGAGAAGGATGCTGATTGTGTCATGGACCAAAGATGTGAGCACCGACGAAGTTTTAGAGAAAATGGAAACAAAAAGGAGACATATTTAATATCAGGGAATTTCTGGTCTCATAATCAGGAAAAAAGGCTGGAAAATCTGATACCCACGGGACAGATTTGAAAGTAAGAGGATCTGAGGAAAATAATGCATAACATACTTTAGTAAATTTTTTTGTAATATGTATTTAATTGTAATCGAACTTTTTTGTTATTTAAAATAACAAGGGAAATTGACAGTTTTCTTAATACATAAAAGTATTCTTTTTTATAATTTGGGTAAGGTTTGGATTAAGTAAAGTTGTAGCAACTTTCTAGTTAAATGTTATGGTCCAAGTTTAGGACCATGGAAGAACAACACGAAACACAACAGTAGAAATAACAAAGAGTACATTACACAAGAAATAATACAAGAAGTGAACGTGTTAGTAAGACTGTCCGAATGGTTTGGTGTGACTGCTATCAGCTCGAGTCAATACCGTACTAATACTCTTGAGAGGCGTAGTATGCATAGCGTTCGGCAGAGTTCATTCTGTCGGTCTAGGTAGGCACCATGACACTAAGTAAAATCGATATTGGTGCACTTAGATCGAATATTACAAGCGCGTCCTGTGTCTCAGAATCTAACAGATGATGTAGGAATTAGAAAATTATACTCAACTTAAAATAAAAGAACTTTTTTTTATTTTGGGCTACTTTCAATATTTAAAAATACTATGAAAAAACCAAAAGCTTACCGACATTCCTTACAGCCAGAATGACCAGAATTATTCTAGGAATGGCACCATCGTTTCACGGTATGTATTATTCACGGTAAGAAATCTTTGCGTCAACATGGCCGCTCCATGAAAAATCAGTCTTATATTGTGTTTTCAAATACTGTATGTGATTTGGGGGTCTTTTTGCTCAATGAATGGCTCCCTATTCCCCTTCGATGTTAACGGTTCATCTTTTACATTACTGACTGTGGAAAGTCGTAGTAGATTCTCCAAATGGTAACTGACTTTAACTGCGTGGAAACGGTTACTTTTTATTTCAAAAGAGAAACCAGTTTCTTTCTTGCATCTGATTGGTTATAAAAATAATATACAATTTCCATGCGGCATGTTTATATCTCCATTGACTCTTGCAGCCGCTATATGCACTGACGAAAATAAGTTTATGACCGAACATCGATATTTCAGAATATATTTCTAATAAAACAATATAAATTAATTTTATTTTGTACGCTTTATGCAGAATTTATTTCTCTTTCAAATGATGTAAAAATTGTATATTTGTCTGCAACTTTAATGTTGGATTAATTTAAATTATCCAAATTTGCCGGCAAAATAAGTTTAAGACCGCTAGGGTATTATTATATTTAAAGCAAAATGTTATAGCAAAAATGAGCAAAAACAATATTTATCAATATTTTGTGCCGTAACCTTTATTATTAATTACAGCTTCACATCGCCTAGGTATCGATCTTGATAAGAGATCAGAAAAATTATTTGGAAATATCTGCTATATGCGTTTAATATAATAAAGCATACACAATAAAACTAATTTATATTAGAAACATATTCTGAAATGAATAAAACTTTAATCATCGGTATTTTCGTCAGTGTATATTGTTTTAATATAATGATTTCATTTGAATATGAATTTGAAATTTTATTTCTTGCAACTTTTGAGATGACGTAATGACGACAAATGTAATGTTCAACGCGGTTTACAATTTTCTCGTTCATATTTTATTCTTTTTCCATGTATTCTTTCTCTCTGTGTTCTTTCCGTATGACCCTTACTCTGTTCTCATTCATTGACTTAGTCGTTCTTATTTTTATTCAACAACGTTGTTTGCCTTTTTACTTCAGCGTTAATTCATTCTTTCTTCTTCTTCGGCGTTTCTTTATTCTTTCTTCTACTACTTTTCTTCATTTTTATTTATTCGGCATTACATCTTCCACACTTCATTATTTTTTCTTCGGCCTGTCATTTTTTCCTTCGGTCCCCCTTACTTTTTTTTTTTTTTCGGCGTTTCCTCATTCTTTTTTTCTAGGGCGTTTCTTCAGCCGTTTTTATTCGGCGTTTCCCTATTCTTTCTTCTTCAATATCTCTTTGATTTCTTCGGTTTTTCTTCGCTCTTTCTACCTTTTTGTTTTTTCCTGTCTTCTCTTTCATTCACCCCTTTTTCTTATGTCAATAATCATTCCTATTATTTATTTTTCATTACTTCATACATTATCATTCTATCGTTTATTCATCTCTTTTTTTTCCCGTAAAACTTAATTTTCATAAATACATTATTTATACTTTTGCATTTTTTCTTCATTTCATATTTAATGTCATTCAGTTTTGTTTTTTTTTTTCATTCAATTTCCAACTCATGCATATTTTTTTTTCCTGGGTATTTCTTTCTTTCATATCACCACTTTCATTTGTTTTTCAAATTTCCGATTTGATTTTATTTAATTTTACCTTCTTTCTTTATTCGTATATATAATTTAAAATTTTCAATCACTATGAATTTAAATTATTATTTTGTTTATATCTTCTTCATATGATTCAGATTTTTATTTTTCCATTTTTGTAGGTTCAATTTTAGCTTTCTTCATTCATTTCGTTTTTTTTTTTTCTAAATTTATTTTATTCATTTTCACTTCCGTTTTCTTTCACTCGTTCAGTTTTTTTTTTTTTTTTTTATTGTTCATTCTTCCTTATTGTTGCTTTCGTTTCCTCTTTAATTTATTCAATGACACCGTTTCTATTCAAATGTCTCCAGTTTTTTATTTTCAATGAATTGAATTTCTGTGCTTCGATTTTTCTTTCATATTCACTGTCAACTCTTTCACGTCTGTCCTTCTTCGCCGCTTTTTCTTATCTATCTCATTCACTACCTCATTTCCCCCTCTCAGTTGATATTTCTAACCGTTAATCTGCCTATATGCATCTTTATTCATTCACGTTTACTTCCCGCTTTTATTCGCAATTTGAAGCCCTTCTCTTCTTTGCCACTCCATGTCTTTGCCTTTATTGTTTCCTCCCTTTCAGTCTTTTCGCTCCATTCCTTCAAGAACTTTCTGCGCATGTCACGAGGACTGACAGATTAAACCAATAGATTAACACAACCGTCACTTTCGGAAACTCCCTGCAGAATTAAATCTAATCCAAATCGAATTGTCGCTTTGTTGCTTCTACGGTTCACGTAAATCTGATGTAAGCAGTCCACGCGGATTTTTAGGGAGGCGGAAGGGTTAGGATGGAAAGACGTGCCCAACAAATGTGACCAGCTTAAAGATAGGAACAAATAAAAATCAGTTTTCTATTCACCGCCGAGTAGCGGTTAGTAGGCTTGTCTAGCAGATCTTGCCGTAGTAGGATCGATCCTCACATCGGTCTAAGTAAATGCTTACGAACTCGTTAGCGCTTAGGGGAAATCTTACGAAGCTAATCTTGCAGATAATCAATACTTTAATCACTCCGCTTACCAATCGGCAGATTCACACTTGTAGACTTGTGCCAGTAGAGCCTAAACTTAGTATAAATATTAGTATAAGATGTTAAAATATATTCATATTTATTTATATCGTTTGTATCAAAATTTCACCCAGTGCAAGGCTCGAGTGCTACTCAATGTAGAGTATTGCAGTAAAAACGGTAAAAATGAATCATATTTGTTATATATAAATGAAAGTGTGCGTGATAGGAATTGAAGATCATGAGCGAATTTGATGATTGACTCTTGGCTCAGATGTCCAGATTGAGGTAGTCAGGGAAGTATCTTTGCGGGAGTCTATTCTACAATGTTGCAGTTCTTGGGTAAAAATATACATAACTTTCTTCTTACACTTGGGACAAGGGGTAAATGATGATGAATGGGCTCATCTGGATAGTGTAACATAGAAATAGCAATAGATTAGCGACAAGCTTGGGATGGGGAGTATTTGGGAAACGGTCTACAGATTGGAAAGTTTTTACTCACAAGACCGCGTAAACGATTTTGAGGATAACTGGGAAGTATTAAAAATAGGAACTAGACGAGATATCCCTAGACATGGACAGTGGAATGAGAAATATATACCCACCCCCCAACTGTAGGCTTCAATTCAGAATTCCCCGTAGGTTACCCAGATCAACATACAACTGAAGAAGGCCGGAGCGCACAATGACCGAAACGTTTCGATAACAATAAAGATGAGGACAATAGACTGGATGTAAATAATGTAAATACATGATCAATATTTCGACAGACTGTTGCTAAAGTAATAACGCTTTTTATAATTACAGTCTGTGTTTTCCGAACTTAAAAATATCTGTAGAATACAAAATCCGAAGCATTAGAGTTACAGTAGTGTAGATGATGAGACAAAGTGAAAAATTTTATTAACGACGCGTTTCACCGGAGAAGAGTGTGCACCACTTGGCTTCCCCAGTCTAAAATGAAATAAAGACAAAACTGTCTGTGAGGAAAACGCCTTCGTATCTCTGAGTAGAAGTTGATATCATAAATTAAACATATTTGGCATTCCAATGTGACCCATGATATCAGGAATAGTAACAACGCACCCAACAAACTAAAAACATGGTATATAATATATATATATATATATATATATATATATATATATATTAATTAGAGCGGCATTTTTTCTTAATTTGAAAACATTTCATTTGCGGTAAAAAATTCTGAAATCTTCTAAGACATTTATCTAATTATTGAACCAATATTCCATTTCATATCAAAGGAAAAACACTTCCAATAATAGAAATTTTGAATTTCTACATTACTAAAATATTCAAAAATATAGCGTCGCATTTTTGCACGTTCAAAATTATACTTAACTGTCAATAACAGTCCACTTTTTAATAAGACAATTAACACATTCATTTTCGTCTTTGAATTTTTACTTGAAATTACATGAAATTGAGTTAAAAATTAATATCTTTTTTCTGAAGATGGTGAATGTTTTCCACGAAAGTGCTTGCGAACAATATAGACCGAACATCTAATCCATTGTGCAATTAACAAAAAACAAGCATCGTGTCGTTCAGCGAGTGGTCAGTAAGTTAATGTCTTTTTAATCTGTGAGTTCGCCATTAATTATATTAACTTTATTGATTTATTCTTTGAATAACTATTTTACGATATTATATGGTTATGTACGCGTTTGTGTGTTTTGTTTGTGGGCCAAGGAGAGCACTTGCTTCCCTGGAGAGACGCGCCGTTAATCAAGTTTTCCAGTTAATGTTGCATATTGAAGGAGTTCAGTTCTCCGACTAACAGAATGAAAATTAATCTTTGCAAAATTACCGAAGGAATCCTTTTGCCTAGATTGTGCAGTCGAAGAAGGCTGCAGAAGTAACAGCCGTATGGTTACCTTACCAATAATAGAAATTAAAAAATCTTTAAAACTTGATTTGGTTTGATTAATTCCTTTTTTTACGGTTTATCAACACGTTGCAGGTTATTTAAACCCAGAAAATATTATTTTAATAGTAACAATTTTTTGTGATAATAACTATTTAATCCTAGCTTTACCAATTAATCTATAGATAAGAGAGGTGAATTCATGCCTTTACCAAGGGTATTTGAGCGCCATTGAATATAACGAACGCAACTAGAATTCGAACTCGGCACTCCGATTAACAATTCCGTGCCATTAACCGTTTTACTACGTTCGCATCCAATTTTAAAGAAACAGTCCGACACCCATACTAACCAGATACGACGTTGCTTAACTTCAGTGAACCGATTGTTTCAACGCGATATGGCCGTAAACCGAACAACACTTGAAAAGATATTGTCTTCGCAAAATTATAGACGATAATCCGCTGTCTTTAGCAATCTTCAGTTCTTCATCGCCTTCAGCAGAAATAGTTTTGAAGTAAGCAGTGAAATAAAGAAAATAGGGAATATTGTAAAATAAATCGAGTTAAAAAGAGAATATTTGCACAGAGGAGCGATTGATTCGAAAAATATCCCTTTGGTTTCTTGTAAAGCATTTCCATTCGTTGTTGTTATTCACGAGTTGAGGCTTTCTTTCTTTTGCCTTTATTTTGCAGATACTTCGTTATATTTACGATTCCATCAAACAAGCGCATTCCGAAAATAAACATTATCAGTTTCTTCACGAACGTAGCCAACCTTTATTCACGCAAAATACACACAGACACACACAAAAGTAAAGCGCAAAATAACTACACAGCGAAGATTATGGGGGAAAAAAAAGCAAAACTTCTATCGATTTATTTTTGTACATTTTACATAAAAGGAATTTTCCTGGCGAAAGACAAGCCGATCATATAAAGAAAGAAATAATTTATCAAAAATGAAAAAAATAAAAACAATTCATAATAAAAGATTACATAGAAATTGTAAATATAAATAAAATAAAGATGGAATGAATAAAAGATAAATGATGACGAAAATGCGATTATATAATGAATAAATAAAATATATATTCAAAAAAATAATAATGGAATATTTTTAAAAAAATATGAAAATGAAATATTTTAAACAACGTAAGAATATAAAATTAATGAAAAATAAAAGATTAGAGCAAATAACTTACGAAAAAAGTATATGAAACGAAATAAAATAAACTATAATACATGAATGTAGAAAAACATAATATTTAATAATTTAATATTAAAGTTTTAAAAAATACAAGTTGTTCACAAATGGCAACAAACGATTCGTTAAAATAAAATGAAACAAAGTATATACACGTCTGGTTTACATTCCTGCCCAATCTTTTGAACAGGAGTAGTAGTTTATCCATTGTTTCCCGTTTAAGATTGGGTTTCCGGTTCCGTTTACAGCCATTCTTCTTCACTCCCAGCACCGTTTTACGTCTTAGCGGTATTATCGCCCTGTTTGTGGTGTATTGATGAGAAAAAATAGAAATATATTAAATAAACGAAATAGAATAATAAAAAAATGTTTTTGACGTAAATTAATGAGTTTATAATAAAGAAAATAACAAAAATGGAATGCAATACCTTATAGGAAGAAACGCTTTATCAATGCACCATCATAAAAGATACGAAGATTAAATAAACACAATAATTACATGGTTGAATGTCATACATATTTCGATAAGATTTTCAAAGGTTTAGGGCTGGAGCCCCTTCTGTTTGCCACGAGGTCCTTGATAGGCTCCAGAGGCGGATATGCAATATAATTGGCCCTGTTCTGGCATCTCGTCTACAGTCACTCTCTCACAGACGCACCGTCGCCTCTCTCTGTCTTTTTTAAAAAGATTTTCATGGCAATTGCTCCAAGGAGCTGCATTTGCTGGTTCTCAGACTTCATGAGTTCAAGCGCCCTACGAGGCTGGCATCCCGCTCTCACTCCTTCACTGTCGAAACTCCTAAATGTAGCCGTCTCTTCTACTCCAATAGCTTCATGTCTCGCACCTCTCGCATGTGGAACTTCCTTCCCTTCTTATTCTTCTTTTGTTTCTTCTTTTTCTTCTTCTTCTTCTTCTATGTACCGTGTCAATTCAGGACATGTGCAAACATGGCTCTCAACAACATCCTATCCTTTGTTGCATTTAGTAAGGTTTCTCTTTTAACCAACCTTCCCACTCCCTGTTCTGCCGTCCATTTACATGATTTCGTTAGATATGTTACTCACTACTTATTCCTGTAATATGACTTGTGAGTGTCAATTTCTCCAAACCCACTTTCTTCATTACCTGTCCCAGAAATTTCCACTATCTATTTCTGATATAAATTATAGTCTTCATTTGTGTTTCCATTTACTTTAAAATGTATGTGGAACTCACACGATGCCGCCATAGTATTCTCAAGATCCATCTGTAGGACAACATTTCTGTTGAAGACCCGGTATATTGTAGGACCACATTTTCTGTTGAAGATCCGGTATATTGTAGGACCACATTTTCTGTTGAAGAATCGGTATACTGTAGGACCACATTTTCTGTTGAAGATCCGGTATATTGTAGGACCACATTTTCTGTTGAAGATCCGGTTGTATTCTCAATCTATAGGACCACATTTCTGTTGCTTCAACAGAAATGTGGTCCTACTGATTGAGAATACCATACATGTATCTTGTGAGTTCCACATATCTTCATCGGTATTTGTCCAGCATGCACTGTCATACTGATATCCCATAACAGTTCAGAACTGTTTTCTTTGTTTCTCTGGAGAAGGCTGGCACTACAGACGCAAAGAAGTCATGTGCGGACGTGGCTCTCGATGCTAGCCACATCCGGCTTTTCCCAGTCAGTAGTAGAACAACTTGATATATCCAGATACGGGCCTGTCTACAACTTATCCAGATCCGGGTCTTTGTCCACTGTCTCATGTCAATAAAAACGAAGAGGACATCAGCAGTGAACATTTGGTGAGACTCCGTGTCTTGTGAAGACATTCCCATTGTTTCCATTTTCACCCGGTAGTTGTGCGCCGCTCTGTAGTTTCTGGAACAGTGACCTTACCGTGATTACTCAGTTTTATTTTGTTTCCTTCTGGGTTTTTTTCTCCTTTCTCCGTCTGTTATCCCGCAATTCTTAAGAGAATAATCGGTTAAGTGTTTCCCCGAACCTCAACATTCTCTTGACTTATTTTAAGACAGTTTCTAATCATTATTTCTTGTATCTTAATAATTTGCTTAGCTTTTTGAAGTTATCTTATTTTTTTTTATATTCAAATGCCCCTTTCGGCATCTTCAATTCGTAGTACGTATTTTGCTCTATTTCTGAAGCTATCAGCCAAAGTCCTATGTCATGTAACAAATAGGCATATATTTTTTGTGGGTCTCTCAGAGTCTGGAGTATAATTTGGGAGAATTGCCGTCTATATTATACAGAACCCATCTCAGGTTTTTCAATATTAGCAAACAGTAGTCAAATGAAATTTATACACGCTTATTTCAGTTTATGGGCTGTTGCATAATAGCGATTCTCACCAAAATTGTAAGGACATCTGGGACAGAATGTATGAGGTCCACAAAGCAAATATGGATGTCAATAGGAATTGTTGTGAATCGTTTAACATGAAGCAGGTCAACAGGAATGTGAATGTCCAGCCATCTTTCACTTCAATCGCATCATCATCGTGAAATTCGCCAGTGGTGTTTCTGGAAAGTCAGTTACAGGACGGAATTATCTGTAGTTTTTATTGATGGTATCAGAATCGGCCTTCATGTAAGGGATGACCATTTTCCTGTGCAACGTGGAAGGGTAGACACACTTAGAGTGTGTTCCCCCAATACGTATAGACCTAACATCTGTGGTCATGGCGTTGGTGTTCATTCGTGATACTCGTTTGAAGGTTGTTCTACAGAAGGATGGTGAGCATAATTTGAAAAAATGTACGATTATACTTGACATCAGAAAGAGGTAGTTGACATTCCCAAGGCATCCTGGGAAGGTCAACGCTTTCAAGACAAGAGTAACAGAAGAAGACAACGCATACCAACCTACCTGATAAGAAGTATAAAAGGATGAAAGAACAGGTTTTAGGAACAATAACAGAAACACGAAATTTACTAAGTGTTACAGAGGACAAGAAATTATCGAGAGTCATGCTCGTCAACGTTCAGAGGTGGATTGGTTACTAACCAAAACTATAGAATACAATCTGTACTACTATTTAACCCATAGCTGGTGGGAGAATATATGGATTCATACATGTCCCAACTGTATTTACCCGTAAGTTAATTTTGTATGTTAATGGATTGAACATATACAAATCTGCGTAGAAAAAACCAGAACATTAGCTGGAGAACACATGTAACGCTTAAAACAATTTAAGGAAAACTAAGACCAATCTCTCTTAAGCTCAAACAAAAACAATTGTAATTTGCCGGCCAATGCCACCGAGCTGACGGGGAGGTCGTTTAATACTTATTCCTGTGGCATCTTTCTGGAGGTGTCTTCACGTGCAAGGTGACTTTCCTAGAAAGCATGGCTCGGGACTCAGGGTTGGACATTGGGGATGGCAATGGAGGACCAAGCACTGTGGAAAGGTATTGTTAATGGAGTTCCGACCAACCACCGGGTGGTTAAATGATAATGATGATGATGATTATGATGATGATGATGATGATGATGATGATGATGAAGTTAATTTAGCTAGCGTGACTAGAATTCGAACTCGATTCTCCTTTATCTCATTCCGTTATCCTTCACACAACCAGAACATCCATACTTACATCACTTAGTATTCCCAAGTAATCACTCATCAAAGATTGACAAAACGGAACGTGATTGATCGAGTATCGGGGTTTTCTTGCTGATATGATCACAAGCAACTGTTATATTTTCCAAGAATTCATGGCATAAATAGACTGATAATAATTTACGAAGAAGACGATATATAGAAAGTGCCTTAATCGCTGGATCATCCGCAGTAAATTTACGTTCAGGTTATTACAAAATTTCACCTTTCTTGGGAGATCTTCCCATGAAGGTAGGATATTTAATAACAAAATTTATAAAAACATAAACAGAAAGAGAAAATAAAAGAAATCAATATATATATATATATATATATATATATATATATATATATATATATATATATATATATATATATATATATATATATTCAACATATATTGAAAGAAAAAGTTAGATTTAAATTTAAAATTCTGAAGGAAGCGCTCCCATTTGTACGCGTGTGCAGTCGCATCAAGGTAAAAATCACTTTCGTCTGATGATATTCTCAAGGTTGTAACACGTAGCACATCACCTTTTTTTTCACTTAAACGTAGATTTCGCTAAGAGAGATAATAAAGAAAAGGAATTTGTGGAGAGCCATGATTGATTACGTCTTCAAAGTACATAGAATTAAAAGTTCACCGTAATTTTAAAATCATTTCTATAGTATTTTATATTCTAAGAGAAAACATATACCCCCCCCCCATATGTGAAGCTGTCTCTATTTCTTTCTCTTCGGCATGAAATGTTTGTAGCTTCTATATTTTTCCATTTTTTACCCCCTTGCTCGTGTACAGGTAATAACACAGAATTTATCTTTCGATCGAGTGACCAAAATATATATTTCCTTGTCACTTGTAAATCAAGCTTAATTCGGAGGCAAAGCAAAAAAAACGGAGACATATCGGGGCAGTGTGTGTGCATAAACGTTTTCTTTTAAGATGCATATTTTAAGATCTGCTTAAGGAAGAATAAAAGAATTTCGTAATATATATATATATATATATATATATATATATATATATATATATATATATATATATATCAAAGGATGTTTGAAGGACACATATTGCAATGAGAGTGTCCATAAGAAAGATGTCTGCATTACATAATGTAGACTTTGTATGAAAATATTATTTTCAAAATTCAAACGTTGAAAAAATACTACAAAGGATTTGACAACACGCTCTTGCAAAGGCACACAAATAAGCAGACGTATACAAACATATTCATATCTATTTTATATCTTTTTTAATCGGTTTCACCCGATGCAAGGCAGTAAAGCCACTAAGACACAAAGGGTTACTGGGTGTGGAAGAATTAGGAACAGAAACATTGAAAATGAGCCGGAAGAGAAAAAAAATGGAATTAAGAGGACTGTGGAGAGTGATTGACACTGTATTTAAATTTTTGCAGGTTAAAGTTGGATAGAAAGAATGGAACTGGAAAGGAGTTCCACATGCGAGAAGTGCGAGAAAATGAACTGTTAGCATAGAATTTGCAGTCGTCTATTACGTTTGAATCGAAAACGTCTGAAACCAAAGCGGGAAATTTATCTGAACAATTACGAGGAAGATATTTAAAGAAAAACCTAGAGTATCTGTCTATATATCTGACATGATGTATTATGTACACTATTTACAATATTCGGACTATTGTCCTCATCTTTTCGCCATATTTATCACCGTTTCGGCCCTTTGTACGCTCCGGCTTTCTTCATGTGGTTGGAATGTCAAACTGAACACTTTATTTCGCTCACTGGGGTGGACTGTTCTAGTTCCACGTGTCATGTCTAATGGATGTCCACTATGCCATGTGTTCTCAAGATTTAAGTTAAGTTATATATATATATATATATATATATATATATATATATATATACATACCCCCATATATATATATATGCCTGTTTCATTATATAATATAGAAAAGTGTTGTCTATCTATTTTGTGTAAATTCTTTTTAGGATTAAAAAATATGTATCAATATTGTGAATTTCTTTCGTCTTTCAATGATAATGTTATTAAGCTTATCAGAAGATAAGAAAAGAATTTACATAAAATAAAAAGACTACACTTGTCTATATTATTTAATGAAACATGCATCAATGAAAAAATGATACCTAAATACACACATATATATATATTAAGAAATGGACAAAGTCCGACAATTTATTTATTAAAGACATTTTTATGTTTAACGTTCTTTTTATAGATACAAGTATTTAAGTAAATGCTCTGTTTATAATAAACAGTATTAAATAACATTTACCGGCCTGAATGTCCGAGAAATTTTCATAGAAAATATTCGTCCTTTGACAGGATTCGAACCTGCATCCTATACGGAACGGTCATTTACGCTGACGTGCCTTACCGATCGGCCACAAAGGAGCGTTTATAAGCAGTAAATTCGACCTTGTCTACCGAACTAAAAATAGAAGACAACACTTAGAGGCGACAGTCTGTTTCATGCTATATGCAATCGTCAGGCAACTACATACGCTCTATCTCTGATATTGATGTTGAGTACTTTATCCTATAAATATAGTACATCATATGACTATATTTCTTTTCTTCATATATATATATATATATATATATATATATATGATAAGAAGACGGAGACTTTAATTATCCATTTCGTTTAATTTGTCTTTCATGAACACCAAGATGTACAAGTCATTTTAAAAGTAAATGAATATATATATATATATATATATATATATATATATATATATATATATATATATATATATATGCACATTTCATTGAATACGACAGACATGGTGCTTTGATTTATTTTTTGTACAGTTTATAGTGTAATTTTATGTTCATTTACTATAGATTTAATATAGATTCATTTACTTGTAAAATGACTTGTACTTCTCGGTGTTCACGAAAGAAAAATTATAAACGAAATGGTCCTCTTAACACCATATATATATATATATATATATATATATATATATATATAGATAGATAGATAGATAGATAGATAGATAATATTAGTGATCAGTGTAATGTATTTTGAATTTGTAGGTCTGATGAATTTGATCGTGATTACGACTCCAATGTAATAAATTATAACCATGGAATATTACTGTTTTAGCCTTTCATATATATATATATATATATATATATATATATATATATATATATATATATATATATATATATATAAGCAAATGTAAATGGATATAGATCCGACAGAATGAAGAAAAATTTGGAAAAACAAACAAAAATCCTTAAATGCAATTATGTTGTTTTAAATGAATGAAATGTCGACGTCTGACGTTTCGGTTTAATAAACCTTCTTCAGGACAATATTCATTAAAATACAATTCAGTTCAATTTGACAAAGACGATGGACATAAAAACAAGTCTTATCCAAAACAGATAACTGAAAATTTTTAAAATGATCAGCTTTCCGTTTAGCATGGTCACGTTGTCGTCACATGGGCGACGCTTTCAAAGCGTATTCCTAAAAATTTTTGATTATTTTGAATGAAAAAGAAAATGAAAAGAATTCTATTAGGATCTAAAATTTTTATGTGTATGCTTGTCGAGCATTAATCTCGCTAAAAAAGGGGAAATATTAAAGAAACCAGGTCCAGTATTCACCGTGCGTGAGATGGATATTATACCTGCTTCATAAATCCTCCTGAGATTTTTATTATGAAAATATTTTAATACATTCACGGAATCGAAATCGAAATTATGATCTGCTTTAGTTGTGTGTACAACTAAAGCATTGTTAAAATTTCCGAGGCGAATATCTCGTTTATGTTCGAAAACACGAGATTTTACGGACCTACATGTTTCGCCCACATATTTTAGGTCACAGTTTTTGCATGATATTTGATAGATGCAAGCATCGGATGTAATATGTTGTCTGCCGGTGCTATTTAATAAACTACGGATAGTTCTAGTAGGTAATATAGTAGTTCTAATTTTTAATGCATTTAGATTATGAGAGATACGTTCGGTCAAATGGTTATTTGGTAGAAAGATGCGACCAAACGAAATATTATCAGAGGCAACTGAAAGTGTACCTTTCATTGATGTAGTTGTAGTGGCCTTCGGGGTGTCATTTTGCGCTGATGAGTGAATTTTCAACGCTTTATTTTTAGCTCTCTGTAATAATTGTCTCGGATACGAAAGATTTGAAAATGTATCCTCAATATATGTGAATTCATCATTTAAATATTTTGATGAACAGATGCGAAGAGCCCTTAAATAGAATCAATAACAATACCCCTCTTAGTGTTAGTATCATGGTGAGAGTAAAAATGTAAATAGTCATTTTTACATGTAGGTTTACGATATACTTTGAATTCTAATTTATTTTTATTTTTAATGAGTAGTATGTCAAAAAAAAGGTAAGGAATTATTAAATTCAAGTTCATAGGTAAATTCTATAGTAGGTTCTATTCTATTTAATCTATCAGTAATATTGTTTAAATCATGTTTATGTGGGTAGATAAATAAAATGTCATCGATGTATCCGAAGTAATGTGTATCAGGTGGAATGACATCTTTAAAAGGTCCAGATTCAAGAAATTCTAGAAATATGCATGCTAGGAATCCAGAGAGAGGACTCCCCATCGGTAAACCAAATTTTTGTTTATAATAAATATTAATTTAAGGATTTTTGTTTGTTTTTCCTAATTTTTCTTCATATATATATATATATATATATATATATATTTTTTTTTTCATATATAAGAATGTTTCACAGAAAACAAGGAAGATTTAATTAATCTTTTAATTTTTCCAGCAATCTAACATTTTTCTTTTTTTAAGGGCTTAAAGAATAAAAGTATTCTCCATAGTTATTATTGTTCGGAGCACTTTCGGCTACTTCTGTAGCCACTATCAAGGATATATTTTTTTGGAATGGTATGATATTTGATAGATGCAAGCATCGGATGTAATATGTTTCTGCTTCATCGTAATTTTACAATGTCGAGTTCCAGCTGTTACGTGCTGTGTGCGATCAATATATGTACATACATACATACATACATATATATATATATATATATATATATATATATATATATATATATATATATATATATATATATGTATGAACTCCCATTATCTTTATCGAAACATTCTTTTCGGCTACGGTTGCCACACAGGCATGTTACTGATATAATCACGAATCCTGCTAAGAGCATAGATCTATATATTTCTATAGGCATGTCTTTATTTAGTTGATTTGTTGTTTACAGATACATAATATATCTATGCATGTGTGACGCTGTCTATAGGTTCATGCGGGCTGATTTAAAAATCTAACTGCATTAAACCCTCCTGATATAGATAAAACAAACAATCAGACAGACTCCCTATTGTGTCTGGGCATTGGAGTAGATAAGGTATCCAATTCAATTTGATTTATGATTACTGCTTATTCTCAGATATCCATCACATGCAGTTTTGTCTTTATTTCATTCTAACCTGAGGGAGCCAAAGAGAGCAGAACGTTCTGGCGAAACGCTTCGTTAATAATTTTCCCACTTTGTCTCGCATCTCCCCATGTTTATGTGTATATATCTATGCTAACACATTTGCTGTCGATTTGTGTATGCTTTTGTTTATATATAATTTTTTTTTGGTAACTGTTGAATATCTTTTCGCTCGTTGACGGTGTAAAATATTGTTTCAGGGCTGACCGCGAATCAAAACCTCGTAGATCTTGCCAAATATTTATTCTGGTAAAAAAAAAAAAAAAAAAAAAAGAAGTTTTTGTTTTCTTTTCCTTGTGTCATGCTGATGAAACGCATATTCTGATTTTCATCGCTACATTCTTGCAAAGTTTATTTCCTTTCTTCCTTCGCCAACAAAACTCGTTTTTTTTTTCCCTTTTTTTCTCCTTAACGTGTAAAAACTAGACTCTATGCATCTTCAACCTGCACATCCAGTTTTATTCCTTTTCGTCTTTTTTTTCAACTGCGTGCTCATTTCTTATTGGTCTTGTACAACAAGCATTCCATCAAGAAATAATAACATTTCTTAAAACATTCTTTTCGATATTATTAAGAATTACTATCTATTATTTTATATTTCTCTAGATAAGGAATATCAAAAAGATAAAAAAAAAATAAATCTTATAGCAGCTAATAGGGCCTTCAGTTCCATATATAAATTTATTGTAAATTTATCACCCTACGGAAGCCAAAACAAATGTTCTCATACGGCGTGCTTTCTTAAAATTTAAAAAAAAAGGTCCCTTTTTGAACGTCACGATGTGGAAATATTTAATCAATAGCAATATATGACAAAAATTCTTCAAAATTAATAGGGACTTCAGTTTACTCTGAAAATCTATCGTAAATGCATCCTCCCATGTGAGAAAAATCAAATATTCTCACACAATGTGAAATCTTAAAAAGTAAAAAAAAGAAATATCTAGTTTCAAAAGTGTTAATCTGGCCTGTTTAAACGATAGTAATATATGTACAAAGAACTTTAGAAATTAATAGTTTACCATATAAATTTATTGTAAATTTATCACCCTACGGAAACCAAAATAAATTTTCTCATATGAAGTGATTTCTTAAAATGTAAAAAAAAAAAATAATGAATTTCTTTTGAAAGTCGTCATCTAGAGTTTTTAAGTGATATTTATATAAGAAAACTACTGATCATCACAGTGTTTCGATAGGCAAATTGTCGCCATTTTCTCTTTTTAATTTCGCACATGCGCGTTTTTGATTTTGTCAACTGCACAGTATAATAGAGTCAGTTGGGCACCACTTCTAGAAAAAGAGCGCCATGGCGCTATTCACTCCGCCAGAAATTTGGAAACGGTATTCTGTACTGCTTTGCATTCGCGCCGGAAGCTCCAATAAGAACATTTCACAGTGTTTGGGTGGCATCCTGACGCCAGTGCAGATAATTCGGAAAGAGTTGGATGAGTCTAATGGTGATTACGAATGTACGGCAGCTTGGAAAACTCACTGTGATTAATTTCATAAGAAAAGAACTTCTGAATTTGTCGCTGAGGTCCTCAGACTCAACACAGAGATCTACATCAAGTGTCTTGAGGAGATTGTGCGTCCCTGGGCCAAGAGGGTGGATGCTAGAAGAACCTATGTCTGGCAACAGGAGTTTGTACCAAGCCACACAAGCAGGATATTCCAGTCTTGGCTGTCAGATAATTTCTGCAACTAAATCAGTCTTTATATCTGGCCACCTACCTCCCCAGACTGAAGCCCTCGTGATTGTTATGTGTGGGACGAGTTGAGCGTGATACCAACAAAACATCTTGTAAAACCAAAAATGAACTGAAGGCAAGTATTATGACAGCATTCAATAACTTAATCAAGGAACCCGTCCCAAAAATATGCAGGAGACTCCGAAGTCTTTTGGAGGCCGTCGTTGAAGCTAATGTCAATTTTATTGAATAAAGTTACTCTTTAGAATTCCAAGATACTTTTGTGTAATTTTGGTAAATATATCTGTTAAAATGAGATGTTAGTTTTATTTTCGTTTTTATTTTATTTAGACGACAATTTATCTATCGCACACTGTGCATAACGAATTTAATTTTAATATGATTATATTTTGTTTTAATTTCCATGGCAGGGCCATTTTAAAATAGACCTTCCGTATGAAGAAAAGAATATGCCGTTATCTGGAATACATAATCTATAGTAATATGAAGCGGAAAACTTTTGAAAAAAGAATTATTTCTGATGGCCATTATCAAAATAGTGATGACAGATAGACTGATTTCCGAATTTTGCAATATCCCAGATATTCTAATCAGTCATTTTTTTTATTCAGTTGAAATTACGTAGAATAATGTACAGTTTTTGATAATTACGACATTTTCCGCTAATCCTGTAATTTTTTTCATTATGTATTATTAAATAGATTCCTCTTTTTTAGCAAAGAGATTCGCCTATCACCCGGTTCACACACCACCTCGGTCTTTTGAACAGAAATAGAAGATTATCCCTCGTATCCTGTTTAGGATTGAGTTTTCAATTCCATCTTTTCTTTCTTTTTCACTTCCAATAGATTCTGGCGTTATAGTCGGGTTTTTGCTTTGTTTGGGGTGAATTGGTTAAAAAAAAAAAAAAAAAAAAAAAACTGGGCTAAATTTAAAATCCAATAGATATTAATGAATACATTGCGGTAATTACCAATCCTTTGGTTCCGACACTGATAAAGGTCTTTATTGTCTTTAACTGTTCATTTTTTATCTCTTACTCAGGTCAGATGACGCCAAATATAAGTGATGAGGTGATGTGGCTAAGAACTGTTTTTTTTTTTATATTAGTGTTCACATATGTCCACTAAATACAAGACATGAAAAATATACAAATAAAGACTTTGTTATCATTATATGTGCACACTCTTTCTATCTGTCTACCGGTCTAAGTATATTGGTGTGAATTTATTACTTTTTAAAAGATTTCTACTGCCCATCATTAGAAATTCGGCATCCCATTAACTATCTATCTATCTATCTATCTATCTATCTACAGGTTTAGTTGAAGACGATTGGAAATGTCCCACGATATATATATATATATATATATATATATATATATATATATATATATATATATATATATATATGTATGTATGTATGTATGAGTTTGAATGCTTCTGTGCATAGATCGTAAATCAGTTTTATTATGTTGTAAAAATGTTTCTTCGTCGGGTCAATACATTTTCAGCACCTTATTGCATCCGCGCACACACACACTCACACACACACATATATATATATATATGTGTGTGTGTGTGTCTGTCTTTGTGTCTTTTGTATATAAATCAAATATGCTTCAGTTTTCAGCATACACGAATGAGAAAAGCCTGAGAAAAATGTGACAATCTTGGAGAATATTCAGAAATCATGACGTCATAGAATTCTTGGTAAAATCCATACGAAAACAACAATAAAAAAAACAAATCCACACCGCCACCCACTAAAAAATAGAAAGAAAAACAACGGTTTCCTAAAAGATTTGTGATGCGTTCTCGTTTTTTGAATATGTTTTTTTTGTTTGTTTGTTTGTTATTTTTGGGGGAGGGGGGTTAATCTTGTAACTTTCTCCACAGATTTTTCTCCAAAGGCAAAATCTCTAATATTTTCATGCCGTGTGCTATTTTATTTTACTTATTTATTCATGTTGTTTCTGCGACCTTTTCCTCCTCCCCCTCACATTTTGAACTGGGAACGGTTTTGCACCGCGTATTGCAAAGATCTTTTAAGAAAATCTCCGGCCAGAAGACATCTGCATCTATTGACGGGAGGATTTCTCACCGGAAGAATAATTATTTCCTAAGCTCAGCTTAGTCTGGTTAAAAGCCGGAATATTGGGGTAGTCGGAGTGGCGCGCTCTTGCTAAACAGAAGAATGGGTCAACAAGACAGCCTTGCTTACCATAGTGGCACCAGAGGGGTTTGATGGTATTTGTTTAGCTTAGATTTATATGGAACAAAGCTCAATTCCTTGAATAAGAGACGAACTCTATACACTATAAAAAAAACAAAATAATTCAAGATGATCGGTGTCGTCCAGCTGCTCTTTACTTGTTCTAACAGACAATGGGGAAAATGAGATATTGCTGTCACATCTTGTCTGGTGTCTAGAGGTTCTTGCCGAGAATCTGCAATGTTATCACTCCTGATTTGACATCTCAGATTTATTAATATTTCCATCGCCGTCACATTGCATTTTTTTTTTACGTTTTCTATAAATATTTTCATGATAATTACTTTCATGAGGTTTGCACTTTTGTACATCGACTTCACGAAATGTTAGCTAGCTTTCGTCATTTTACTGCTGAAATTGTCGGATTTAACTGTAAGTTCTATGCTAACAGTTTCATCTCTCGCACTTCTTGCTTGTGGAACTCTTTCCCGTCACCTTTCTTTCCTGCCAACTAAAATCTTCGAAAATTTTAATTTAAATGCAAATCTCAATCTTTTGTGTCATTGAATCGTGTTCTTTTATTGTTCCTCTTTCCTCAATAAAGTTTTTTTTTCTCTCAATTTCTTTCAATCTCAGTACCCCCCCTCCCTGGCGGCTTAGTGGCTTTATTTTCTTTTTTGGGCTTAAAAAAAAAAACTAGCTCATATTGTTATATCATCACTGATCAGAACCCGAGTTTTCTCGGTTACGTTCTCAATGCGACTACATGCTTTGAACATCTTTGAGTCTCAAGTTTACCCTAGTATGAACTCAAATATAGAATCCATTGATAATGATGCCGCAAAAATGATCAACCTCTTCTATGCCCTGATCTCATTCTGCAATGCTTTATCCTTACAAAAAACAGATTAGGCCTAAAACGGTATTTTGCCATCTGTACTAGTGCTGCTTCAGAGTCTGTCTATATTTCTGAGATGAGGTATTATGTACATTATTTACATTATTCGGACTATTGTCCTCATCTTTTTCGCCATATTTATCACAACGTTTCGTTCTTCAGGTCGTTGGAATGTCGAACCAGAGATAAGCAATGATAACAACATAGTTGCAATATGAGCTCTGGTAAAAACATGAAATGATAACAGCAAAATTACAATATGAGCACTGGTAAAAATGGTTGCTGAAGACATTAGGTTTATAATACCCAGAGATTCATACCCAGATGTCCTCAAGGATACATGGCACAGTGGATAAATGCTTTGGTTAGATCCAGTGACAGGACCCAAAGAGTGTGATTTCAATACCCGGTTAAGGCAGTAGAGAACTTTCAGAGAGGAATTATCAGGAGATAACATGGCACGTGGAACAGTCTACTACAGTGAGCGAAATAAAGGGTTCAGTTCGACATTCCAACCACCTGAAGAAGACCGGAGCGTACAACGGCCGAAACGTTGTGATAAATATGGCGAAAAAGATGATGACAATAGTCCGAATAATGTAAATAATGTAGTGCTGCTTCGTCCACACATTCCTGCCATGATAGTGTTCAAAATCCCTTAAGTGTGAGTATGTTGCGGCAAATTTATTTTCCACTCTGAAGCCACTTCACAAACCTTTTCCTACTCTATCAATCTTTTCAAGGCAAGTATCCAGATTAACACCATATTTATTTACAGAAGTTCAAACGCTTACTTCTAGGGAACGAAATGCAACTTCTTAGGAGAAGAATCCTCTGTATATGTTAGGAGAAAGTTTCATTTAGTCTTTCTCCAAGAGCAGCTATTTCACGGAATAAACTCCCAAGCATATTCTTCTCTGAATACAGCAAATAGAACCTATCGAAGTCATAGGTAAATCGCTATCTATCCTTCTTATAATATCATTCCTATTCATTTAACAGCCATTTATGTATACTTTATCTAGAATTTGAATGAAAGTAGCGATATCATCTAGCCTGATTCTATCATAAAAAATTAATGGTGTGAAATTAGTAAATACTTAACACTTTAAATACATAGGTGTATGGATCAGTTATAAGTGATTTTGAATAAGAGAAAATGAAACTGGTCTTGGCTGTGTTAGAGGTAGTTATATCAAACACAGCGAATTACTCAAAATATATTACCTGAAAATTAGAGTCATGTTCTTAAATAGCCTGGTTAGATCGAGGCATCCATGTCTAGGTCATGCATTGCACCACGCTCGTTCAGAAATATCTAAACCCTGAACTAGTTTCTTGGATCAATGTTTAATAATAGATTTGTAGGTCTTCGAACCTTGTGGAGTAGTGCTACAGAATCACAGAGATCTCTACCAAATAACAGATACCACATCACTCAAGGGTTTTCAACAGGAGCAAAAGCTAAAACGTATATCACATATAACTTGAAAAGAAAATAATGAAATAGTCAATATGTTCACGCTCCAAACTACTTTAAAGAAATGTTTAAGGAAGGAAACTTTCATCAATGCTGGAAAGAGCAATAAACGTTACTGGACAGGTGAAATCAATTCTCCTGAAAAGTTATTTTAAGAGAAATATTTTATGAATTTCAATCGAGCGTGGCACTGTTATGAAATGTGATTTCATTCGCATTTTCTCCGTCTCTTGGTAGTCGTTAATCTCTGGTATCATATCCGGTATTTAAAAGCACGCCTACAATGTGAACGAAATGCGACACAAGGCCGAGTTTAATGTGGGTATATCGACCGTACCTTGTAAAAATTACACCAATAAACCCAGCCCTCCTCATAAAAAGAGGTATGCCCGGAAGATGGGCCCCTAGGAATTGAGCTAATATCAGCCAAGCAGCAAACTCCTCGGCCATTCCGTATCATATTTTGCATTTAACGCACGCCCACGACGTAAACGTAATGTGACACAAGTTCGAGTTTAATATGGGTTTATCGGCATTACCGTAGAAATATTTTACTCTATACAAGGCCCAAGAGCCACTCAAGGTTAGAAATTTTTGTGTGAGTGGCAAGAGTAAGTGAAGTGACGCATTTTATGAATATATTTGAGAAAGATAACGTTTAACTCTAGCCTGAATAACTTAAGATTATAGTGGCCGGTGAAGGGTCTTTTGAGTGTCGCAGTTGTTGGTATTTCTTGCTAATGGAATACAAATAGAATGAAGGTGATACGACTCAGTGTACGTGGTGTTGCAGGTCTTATCTGTGGGGATTAGAGTTGGAGGAATTAAGGAATGTAGGTCATCTGAACATTTTCCATGTAAATAGCGAGAGATCAGCGAGAAACATGCAACGGATCGTCTGTCGTTTAAATGGTTATAGGAAATTAATCACTCACAACGCTTCATCGACCATTTGGATTCTATCCCAACTGGAAAGTTAAGACTGCGTAGCTTCAGCACTATTTGGGCTTGATATGGTTCTTCTAAAGGCATGTGATAGCAGGAGTAGTCGGGTGTTTACCGGAGGTAAAACACCTGACTACAGGGAAGCGACCATCACTCGGTACCTTTAGCGTGGATCGTTTACAGTGATATTTCGGCAAAAGGCGTTTCGAGTTAAGTCATTTTCGAAGATACATCGGTTTTTCTTAAATATTACACAGAAAAATAAAATTCGCCTTGGATCCTTTTACTCGAGAATACGTTAGATATTAAAAATATTTAAAAAAGTCAAACACTAAAATAACAATAAACACACATAAAATCATATTTAAATAAATTTAAAAATATTATGTATACAATATATATATATGTGTGTGTGTGTGTGTGTGTTCAACAGACGTTCTTATTTCAAATTCCTGTCGACAGGCGTCACTCATGTATTGTTTTCCGCTCCAACACAGATTTTGAATACAGGTTTGTTTACATCTGTGCTCTGCTGTTAATGTTCTTTCAATTACATTTCATTTGTGACTTAGAATACATTTTTTGTCCATGGCTGTGCAGAAAAGGTCTCAGTACAAGTGTTAATGCAAAGCCTACGGCTATATCGCCGGAAGATACGGTGAAAATTAACTGTTTTATTCGGCATAATGCACATACATGTAAATACTGTAATAGGCAAATGGGAGTGCTTATCTCCAGTTTATAGTAGGGTTAGTTGGATTTAAGTCATTTTCCAACCGAAGTCGTGACCTCTTGAACCAATTAATTTTTTGCTATTTTCGTAATAAACTCCAGCGTAGATGCTTCCCTGAACACAACAAATTAAAACCTATTGAAGTTATGGGTCAATCGCTTACTACCCTTCTTATCCTAACACCGCCACATTTAACAGCAATTTGTGGCCATCACGCGTTCTATTGGGTGTACTTTATCTAGAATTTGAATGAAAACAGTGCTGTTTTTTAGCCTGAATCTAACATAAAAATAGTAAATACTAAATTCTTTTAATAATTATGTATATGGATCTGTTATAGGAGGTTACTGCACCCGGTATTCCCAAGCTGTCACCCATCTAGGTATGACCAGGCTCGACTTTGCTTAACTTCGGCGATCGTACAGGAACGATGTTTCAACGTGATGTGGCCGTAAGCATCTACATCGAAAGAAACTTCTGTTACATCACCTTCATTATGATATATTGTCACAAATTTCTCTCGCTATTAGTCTCGACTTCATCATCATCATCAGCAGCAGCAACAACAACCATCTAACCGTCTGTGGTTGTATGCGCGCTGTTGGGCACCTGACCAGTTCTTTCCATATAATTCGACCGCGTGCCATTGTCTGATTCTCTGTGAATGATATTTCATCCGGTTCAGTGAGGTCAGTCTGTTTTTCCTGTGTCTGCCTCGTTTACTTTTGCCTAAGGTGGAACCTTGTAGGACGACAGCGCAGAGGATGATGACTCTCATAAATGTATATTATCGTTCCCAATTTATGAATTCAACGTTATCCTTGGTGTGTATGTACGTATAGAAAAAAAAACATATAAAGATTGTGTTGAAAAGGTACCAGTTCGATCAAACAGGGGTTGAAAATATTCAGAATCAGATGCTTTGATTCGTTTTAGGACATAGATCAACTGGAGGACTTTTGAGCATCCTCTCGCATTTTCCTAACCATTTAACCGCAAGCAAGGTGATAATGCCACTACAAAGCAAGTGGGGGGGGGCTACTAGAAGTGGAAAAGAATGAGATTTTTTAGTGATGGGAAAAGGTAATAAAATAAAAGAGATTCAGAAGGACAGAGGATGGTGGCTGACATTGCATTTAATTTTTTTGAAAACTGTATTGGATAGGAAAGAAAAAATCGACAAATATTTCTAGAGGTGAGAAGTGCGAGAAAAGAAACTATTAAAATTAGAATTTAGAATTAAATTACAGTTGTTTCATGTTTTGTACTTTATAGCGGAGACACTTATGCAATCAGCCGGCCGCCATGTAACAGCAAGTGTACTGGTTTCTTGTCGTTGTTCAAATCGAGTGCACAACATTCTGAGGGTTTTGGAGTAAATAAGACACCCCTGGTAACACAAATGAACTAAGTAAGACGCCTTAAATAAAGAACTCAAATTGAGTCAGGGGAGTTCCGTTGTAGTCAGTCGTGACAATATTATAACCTCTAGGAGTGAGTTATAACAGTAGCGACGAGGGATCGAATCTCATACGGAGTAAGTAAAAGTACTTTTTGCTTCGGCGCATATTTACTTCAGCAGTGACGACGAGAAATTAGAACCTGTTATGGGAACTTGCCCATAATAATAATGGACTATTCCTGACATTATAAATACGGCGCCTCTCAAGAGGTATGAGAATATTGTAAGACGGGGAGAGATAAATGAGAGCATATTGTAAGGACACTGGAATAGTGATACTTGTCGAGACAACAGAGTTCACTCTAACAAAATCTGATAGTCATTAGTAATACTTCTACTTCTTTGTATTATATTTCTGTTGTAATATATCTTTGTATTCCATACCTGTGTTCGTGTTATTCTTTCATTGGTTCTAACCTTGGACCATCACCGTGGTACAAAGAACTTGGATCATAACAGAACTAAACTGGTTTAATTTTTGCTTTGATGTGTGTAAACAAGAAACAAAAGAGAAAGAAAAAAAAAACATCTCAAATGTCTTACATTATCGTGTTCACTAAAATAGCAAATACAATATTTATAAACCAATAACACTCAATAAAGTGCTTACATCGTAAAACACACCAATAAAACCAAAGAATGATTTAGGTAAATATCACCAAAATATCGTACGGACATAGAAAAAGACATACCATGTGGCTTTTTAGGGTTAAAGTGGGTAGAAATAACGACTATAATTCTGGAGTTGTTCTTCTTACGAAAAAGTGAATAAAACTCATGAAGACCGGCCCCAAATATGAGACACATAAATGTCACCAAGGTCCACATCACTCTAGCTGCGGATCACATTCACGTCCACTCGCAAAAAGAAATAGCCCAGACAAGCTACAAAAAGACAGCTTCAGACTACAACCCACAGTTCCCAGTAAGAACTAAATTCTATCTTTTTATATCCGCTTTACAACTAAGCACGCACACACGTACTCAATTTTTCACACAAACACACATAGAGCATTTCACTGTTTCTCAAATACGCACATAAATACAACTTATTCTCAATTAGATGTATCTTTTTACTTCTATTATTCATCTAATACAAGGCTCAAGAACCACTCATGATAGAGGGTCCCTCAATGGGGTTGCTTTATAGACGTAAGAAATTTAAATTATGATGATCTATACGATAGAAATATCGTATTTAATTGATCGTAGACTTGATATGGTTAATATTATAATGGCCAAGGAATCTTCCTACCAGGAACCTATTTTACAAAGCGGTAATTGAGTAGAGTCTTTTCGAATGGTACTTCTATCTTACCAAGAGAATACAAAAGGAATGAGGATTGTTTTCATCTAAGTAAATGGATTTTAGCTGTAAAGATATGTGTTATATAGGAAACAAAGGCGATCCCATTATTGAATTAAGTGGATCACATGACAATAGAGGAAACGTATATATGGGACATAGCGTGATGTCCAACGATCTATATTTCTACTCTATCCTCGATTACTATAGGGACTGCTATTCTCTACTCTATTCACTATACTTTTTTTCTCTATTTGGAGCACTATACGAATTACTATTCGAGCGAGTGTTATTCGGAGGCGTATGATACCAGTATGGATTTTAGCTGTAAAGATATATGTTATATAGAAATAAAGTGATGCGGCTGGTACTTGAGTTTGAACACAGATCGCCTTTGACTAAACACAGGCGATCCCATTATTGAATTAAATGGATCATGTAACCATAGAGGAAACGCATATATGGGACGAAGCCAGACGTCCAACGACCACCATTTCTACTATTACTATACAGACCGCTATTCTCTACTCTATTCACTATACTATTTCTCCATTCGGATCACTATGCAGATTACTATTCGAGCAAATGCCATTAGTGCAAGTGCTATTCGAAGGCGTTTGGCACCAGTATTGTGCAATAATGTATCGGCGATTACAGTCTCTACTACAACGAGCATCATGAAAGTGACAACGAATATTCGTTGGCATTACAAAAGGGGTAACGAATGTTCACGGTCGTCACAAAAATATGAACTCGTGGAACTATAAAATATTGCTACCCAGAACATTTTCCAATAAAAAAACGATACATTAACGAAAGACTTGCGATCTTTTGTCTGGGGGAAAAAGGGTTAACGAGCGCGAATTAATTCTGTAATCAGCTGTGGCCTAAGAACATATCCCAAATATGGTAAGCGACGACTAATCTTTATTAATTATTTTATTTTGAATTTAGGTTCATATTAAAACAATTCGTGTTCGAGATGACAAATCGGCAATATTGTTGGTCCTGATCTGTCGTCTCGGTTTCAGTCACTTTCACACCGCCAAAAAGTTACCTTTCTGTGCCTTTTCTACAAATATTTTCATGGTAATTGTTCGGATGAGCTCTTCGCTATGGTACATAGACTCTTTGATTTTAAGAGCAGTAGTAGACTGACGCCAAGGTCTCATCACTTTACACTTGAACTGGATAAATGTAACCGTATGCTAACAGTTATTTTTCTCGCACTTTTCCCTTGTGGAACTTACTTCAGACTCCATATTTCTAGTCAACTTTAATCTACAAAAATTAAATACAATCTCGATCGATATCTGCTGTCTTCCTGATTACACTTCTTTTCTTCTCGGTCCTTAATAATGTTTCTGTTTTCTAATTCTTCCAAACTCAGCAAAACCTTGTGTCTTAGTGGCTTTGCTGCTTGGAGTGAATTTAATTTTTAAAAAGTGTAGGTATTTAACTATCTGGAAAATGTTATGATACGACAAAAGATTGAAGGTGCACTGGAAGATCGAAAGATGCCTTCCAAAAGTTAAGCAAAAAGTACTAAGAAAGAGGGAAGTTTTGTTTGAAACAAAGAATAAAGAGTGGAACTGCTAGCAATATCAATCTTAATATGCCATACTGAATGTTGGAGAATTTCCTGGTAGATTAAGAGGTGATTTGAAGTAAAACATGAGATTTATTTTTATAGATAGATATTGATAATACAATAAATGAAAATTTTGAGCAGGCGAAACTGTCTAAAAATCAGAATGATATAATTGAAATTTCTATGACACATAAAAATAGGAGAGCTTTAAGATTTTGACACTCACAGGACTTACTGAAAGCAGAGATAAACTGCGAATAGCCTATGTATGGAACGACAGTAGAAATATAAATTATGCTTCGGGTTGTAAATGATAGGAGATTGTAGAGAAACACGATCGTTCATATCCTCAAGGAACAGGGGAAAAAATAAACAAGATCAACTGGATTTGTGAAGAAGAATTTTTAACAAGAGCAAAAGTGAAAGATTTGCTTGCAACCAGAAAGAGACAGATGGAATTTCTCTGCTATATAATAAATAAAATATTGCATGTATATTTTTTAAACATTTCACACCATGAAAGTCAATAAATCTATTAAATAAATAAATTCACTAATTCGTCATTACAACTGGTTTCCCTGAAACGGAAATTACTTATGACTCAACCTAATAAATATAATTATCTCATTATAGCTTGACGTCGTAAGTTGTTCCAGATATATCCATGATTTGTGCGCTAAAAAGCTATTTTAAGCGACAGGGAAAATTTGATATTTAGTACCTAAATTATATTTTATAAGTAGGTTCGCCAATCGCCCGGTTCCAATCGTCTTTTTATGTTATTTTAAACATATCAAATGCAAGGCAAGAGGGCCACTAAGGGGTTACCAAGTGTTAAACAATAAGAACAAAGAAAAACATAATTAATTAGCGAGAGCAATAAAAGAACAAGAATTGAGAAGACATAAGATAATTATTGCCCTTGCATTTAAATCTTTGAACATCAGCCTTGACTGGAAAGCAAGAAGCCAGCAGAGGATTCCCTGAGTGAGATGTGCGAGAAAAGGAACTGTTAGCATAGAACTTACGGTTTTAACGCTCACAATTTACTGACGTCAAGAGGAACAGGGTGAAACGAGTCACATTCATTGAAGGTAAATATGGCGAATCACGAACAAGATGGATGCTAAATGGTCAAAAGTGACTTAGAGCGACAACAGATTGGAGACATGATCGCTGCCGTCCTGGAAGGCTCATAAAGAGGATATCGTTTCTACTCTGTACATTAGTTCATATCGGAAAGGGATCATTAAACAGCAATGGAATTCCACCTTCTGTTCACTTACCATTTACACGATTGGGAAATGTGTGATTTTGCAACCCTGTGAAATCTAGGCGAGCTATGTCTCGCTATACTGCTTGAAAGAAGTGACAGAAAAAGAAAACGTCATGGTAATCCTTAAACCGGATTTTAATTCCGTTTCTGGTGGTTTTTATTCACTTTAGGTAGTGAAGGAGAACGAAAAGAGGAGGGAAGGAAACATAAACCACAAGAAGACAGAATGCATGGTCATCAGCAAAAAGTTTATCCCGAAACTATTTACACGATTGGGAAATGCTTGATTTTACAACCCTGAGTTCCAACTCATCGTGAATTCGTGGAGAGCTGTATCTCGTTTTACTGCTTGAGGGAAGTGACAGAAAAATAAAGCGTCATGTTAATATTTAAACCGAATTTTAATTCCGTTTGTGGCTACTCTAATTTATTTAATGCAGCGAAAGAGAACGAAATGAAGAGTGAATACATAAACTACAAAATGACAGAATGCATCGTCATCAGTAAAAGGATGAACCCGAAATTACGATTTACAGGTAGGAAATCCTAAAATAAAGCAGGTGTAAAAATTTAAATAACTGGGAAGTGTTCTGACAGTGGACGGTAAGTGTGAAGTTAAGATCCGAAGACGTATTAGGATGAACCGAAATTAAATCCAAGGAAATCCTAAAATAAACCCATTTAAAAAGCCTGGCAGAGGATGGCCAAAGACCCATTCAAAATTACGAGACAGGTGGATTTCGTTGGTAACAAAGAAAAGAGTACTGAACTGTTACGTGATATCTGTCCTCCTTTACGGCAGCGAATGTTTGACGGTCTCCTCAAAGATGAAGAAGAGACTTGAGGCAACGGAGGTATGTTTCTACAGAAGGATGCTAAGGATACCATGGACCGAACATGCGAGCAACGTTGAGGTTTTTGAGAGGATGCAAACAAAGAGGAAACTGAAAATTCTGGGACACATAATGAGAAAGAAGGGCTTGGGGAATCTGATACTCACAGGTTGGATAGAGGGAAAGAGATATAAGGGAAAGCAATGCGTGAAATACTTAACGGGCTTAAGCAAGTGGGTGAGAGAACAGGGTTTGGGAGAACTAGGAAAAGGACAATACATATTAAAAACTACAAGGGTTTTGGGGAAGTGGAGATCGCCTACGTCCTGATGGGACAAGGCACATAAAAGAAGATGTGAAATGACATCTCTATGGTTTGTCGAGTCACTAGATTTAAATATGTTGTCCTTGGTATGCCATAATGATTGATAAAACGGAGATTGGGTATGCGACCATTCAGAGGAAGCATTCTCCCTTAAGTCTTTTGTTGCTTAAACAGTAACCAAAGTAAAATACATTTACAACAAAGGTTAATTTTGAGATAGATCAGTTATTCATTCTCTATTTTCACTTTACATTTACCTCGGATTTACTGAATGTGTTTATTTGCTTTGTGACATTATTTTTGTTTTTTGTTTTTTTTATTTACCCAAACTAAGTCCTCGCCAAAATTGATGGCATTATTTAAGTACTGATTTAAGTCCAATTCTATCAAGGATCAGACCATCCGTGCGCTCTGCCAGGTATAAAAATGCCAATCCCGATCTCTGTCTAGGATCATAGTGTAGTATCTGCACAGAATGTGGAAGGTATTTCACACACACACACACACACAGCATTTTTATATGTTGATTTTTGCGATCATTACTTTTGATTTCCTTTTTATTTATTGATATTTCACTTGACTTTTTTCATGCGATTCTATGTAGATTTGGTTTTTTAACGATTTTTTTATTTTTCTGTTACTTTCTTCTTTTGTTTTACTTTTCATTCATCCGTTCGTTTTTTGTTATCTTTTTCTTCTTCTAAGTTTCTTCTCCATTTTCTTCCTTTACTACTTTAATCACAATATAATTTTTGAAACTTATTTTTTCACTTTTTCATTCTGTCCGATGTATTTATTCTTTCTTCTCTTCTTTAAATTCACTTCCCTTATTTTTTTTCCTTGTGCTATATTTTTCCTCTTGGCTCAATTTTTTTTTCTTTTCTTAATTTATTTTCACCCTCATTTTTGGTGAATTTCTCTTTTTCTTTCACATCCTATTATTTTGCATCTCCTTCCTTTTTTGTTGTAATTTCTTCCTTTTGATTTTCATTCCCTTTTCTTTCTTTCAATCTTTTTTTCATGCTTTATCTTCCATATTTTTCTTTGTTTTCCTTCGATGTCCTATCATTTTTATTACGTTCCCTCTTTCTTTCTTTCTTTCTTTCTTTCTTCATCACTTTCTTTCCTTCTTTTTCTTTCTCCCTGTATCATCCTTCCTTCCTTCCTTCCCTCCTTCCTTCCTTCCTACCTTCCTTCCCTCCTTCCTTCCTCCCTTCCTTCCTTCTTCCACTTTTTTCTTTCTTTTCGTCCGGTTTCCTATAATTTTTAATATGTTCCATGATTTCTTTCTTTCTTTCTTTCTTTCTTTCTTTCTTCCAACTTTCCTTCCTTCCTTGTCTTTCTTTCTTCCTTTCTTTTTTTCTTTATTTATTTTCATCTATACCTTTCTTTTCTTTCTTTATCTTCCTCCATGATTTTCTTGCGTTTTCGTTCAATTTCCTATATTTTTTATTATGTTCCATATCCTTTCTTTCTTTCTTTCTTTCTTTCTTTCCATTTAATTTATTACTTTGCTTTTCATCCCCTCCCTCTTGATAACATTTTAAATTTTCCTTTAACGATTTCGTTTTATTGCATTCAGTTTCCACTTTATTTATTGCCCGTTTAACTATAATTGGCTCAATTGAGCGGCTTTCGTAGAATAGAAATTCATCGAACGGAGAGCCAAGTCTGACGTCAATACGCTTTTTAGTGTCCAAATCAGAGACGACATTGCAACATACCCAAATCTTCTTTCTTGCTTTCTTCCTTTAAGAACACACACACAGACACACATACATACAGACATATAATATATATATATATATATATATATATATATATATATATATATGTCTGTGTATGTGTATGTATATGTATATGTGTATCATATATATATGAATGGTTGCTTTTCTCCTCTATAGTCAGAAGCCATAGACACGATTATACTATACAAAGAATAAAGTCTACAAAATTTTATTGCTCTAGCAATCACGGTTGATTTTTAAAAAATTATGTCTTATTATCCACTTGATGAATATATAATGAAGCATTATCTGGAACTTTGTAAAACATGTAGCGAAAGTCAAGAAAATTGCGAAGAACATAAAAGCGTTTCTCTCAAAGAATGGTTATTTTGAATTGGATTTTAGTGATATGAAAAAGCGATAAGAACGTACAGACCTTCAATGGAATATTTGAAGTTGGAAGCAAATTAGCTTTTGAAGAACAAGAAATTATTGAAGCCTGCTCTCATAATCGCTAGCGCTATGGGCTCACATAACAATTTCATTCCTCTCAGTCTATCTATCTATCTATCTATCTATCTATCTATCTATCTATCTATCTAATGGAATAATATCATTTCCATATCTTATCCGGATTCCAAGTTTCATAAATACCGTCTTATATACAATTTTCGGTCGATTTAAAAAAAAAAGAAAAAGATGTTACACAGGTTAGACAAGGTACACTTCGATGTGGTCTAATGGTTAGCAATTTCATCAATTACGACTGAATATTGAGGCCGGTTCTCATTAATTCTCTATAATTCCGGCCTTGTGCCGCATGTAATCTACGATTCTAAACAATTCAATCGGTTTGGTGAAGCCATTATTTAAAATTGAAAAAGGATAAAACTACATTCCTATTAATTTTATATTATACACAATTTACGAATAACATAATAAATTCAAATTTATATCTTAAACGCCATAACAAAATTATTTTTTTTAAAAAAATGATACGGATTTATAAAAATAACTTTTATTTCTGAGGGAATAAAGATATGATCTGTACATAAATTATTTCATTTCAATGAGAATTCCGCCAAATGTGGGATGGTCAAAAAGTATCCATGAAACGTAGAGTTTGGATAAGCTAAGAGATTAATCTATCATTTCTTTGTCAGTCTTATATTTGACTTTGATGCGCTCTCTTCAAGAAATTGCGACGTCTGAACGTCATTTTATGGCATATTAATATCTATCTATAGGGTGCGATGGGTAAATTGTCGTTATTTTATATTTTGTAATTTCGCGCATGCGCGTTGTTTGTTTTTGAATTTGTCAACGGCACAGTATAGAAATGTGAGAAAAAGAACGCCATGACGAAATTCACACCAGCAGAAATCTGGAAATGGTACTGCTTGTACGAACATTTCAGAGTGTTTGGGTGTGAATCAGAGAACAGTTCAGAGGATTCGGAAAGATTTGCAAGATTCTAATGGTGATTACGAAGATATTCAAGATTTGAAGTCAAACTGTGGTCGTTCCGATGAGAAAAGAACTCACGGATTTATTGGTGTGTGCCTCAGATACAACACGGAGGCCTATATCAAGTGCCTGGAGGATGTAGTGCGGCCCTGTGTCATGGGAGAGGCTGTTGAAAGACCCTATATCTGAAAAAAAAAGCTTCTGCACCATGTCACAAAACCAGGAGAACCCAGCCATAGTTGTCAGACAATCTCTGCGACCACATCACCTTTAACATCTGACCAGCAAAATCCTTAAACTGCAACTCCTTGTGTATAATGTACACGGCACAGTTGTGCGAGAGACCAACAAAACTCCTTGTAACACCAAAAATGAACTGAAGGCAAAGATTATTATTCATCAACTTAAACAAGGAGGCCGTCCAGAAGAGTTGCAGGAGATTCCAAAGTCGTCTGAAGGCCGTGGTTGCAGCCAATGGTTCATTTATTGAATAAATTTACTCTTTACTATTTCAATATATTTTTTGTGTAATTTGGTAAATATATCTGTCAATGTTATTTCTATTTTTACGTAATTAAGACGAGAACTCATCCATCACACCCTATATATATATATATATATATATATATATATATATATATATATATATATATATATGTATATATGTAAATATATATAAATAAATAAAACTGCACATTATTCAGTTAAATTAATGACTACTAGAATAGCTGAGAGCGCTCGAATGTACAGAATATTTCGATAATTTTTACAGACTTTATGTTCAGAAAAGAAAATATCGCGAAAAAATTAAATAAAAGCTCATTCGTCTGCGATGGAGTACCTCATAACCTCCTTCAGACGTCTTGAATGAAACTTGTATAAAAGAGTGATTAGTGCCTAAAAGCACTATATATATATATATATATATATATATATATATATATATATATATATATATATATATATAAACACCTTTGTACATATCAATTTTTTTGCCATAGGATTTTTTTAAATTGGTTATCAGCTGAAATTCAATCTCAGCTTTTTTTGTTGAATGAAAAGAAACATTGAGCGGTCTTTTTTTGAGATGCTTTTAACATATTTTAAATTCTATGTTGTATTAATAGAACACCTGGATTATACCAACGGATTATTATATATATATATATATATATATATATATTTTTTTTTTATAACAGGTTATCATAAAACTTGTTAAATCCCATCACAAAAGCTTTCATGTTTCAATAATAAGATTATACTTTGAAAGATGAAAGATTTTGTATAACGATTTCAACCTTTTTATCATAACCTCTTATAATAAAAATAATATTAATAATATATTGTTCTATTTTTTTAAAATGAATTCTACGAACAGTGAATATTACTCCATCATTTCTTTTCTCATTTGTATATATATATATATATATATATATATATATATATATATATATATATATATATATATATATCAGAGTGTAAGATCGGCTATCTGAAATCAAATCTATGTCAAATCTATGTCTCATTCTCATAACACGTGTTAATTTGGTTTGATTCCTGCATTTTCCAGTATGAAAATTAACTAAATTGTTAATTAATAATTCTTTACATTTTTCGTATTTATCTGCTATATACTTGCAAACAGAGAACGTAAAGTGCAGCACTGAAATCCTAAGGTGCAGTGTGATATTCAAAGATGCGTTCCAAAAACTAAGCAGATTATCATAAGAAAATATCGCTAGAAACAAAGAAAAATGTACTGAACTGTTACGTTATATATGTCCACATATATGGCCATGAATGCTAGACAATCTCTTGCTGGAAAGAACTGAGGTAAAGGAAATGTATTTCTCCAGAAGGATGTTGAGGATACCATGGACGTAACATGTGAATATTGACGAGATTTTAGAGAAAATGGAAATAAAATGGAAGCTTAAAGTTAACATCTGGAAGAGGCAGCTGTAATTTCTGTGGCACATAATGAGGATGAATACTTGGAAAATCTGATACTCACAAGATAGATAGAGGCCGAGACGGAGAGAGGAAAATAACGCATAATATACTTGATGACTTTAAGTAGATGGATAACCGAACAGAGTTTAGGAGACATAACCAAAGGACAATATTTCTTAAGAGCTACAAAGGACAGGACATTTTGGAGAGCCATGATCGTCTGAGTAATTTGTATGTTGGATTGTCCCTTTTTCTAAAACACATATATTCAGTCTTCTTGCAATTGACGTATAGTCTTTTCTTTTCGATTTCCTTCTCTACATTTTATAGGAGTTCTTGTTTCATTTTTTTGTCTTCATATTTATATAATTGTGATTAAAGGCTAACATTATACATTTTATTAGGTTTGTCTCTGTGATCTTACATATCAGCACTTTTTGGGTTTAGACGAAGTTTTTGTCGTGCACCAAGTAAGGATCGAACTCATTATCCACTAGGTCGACTAACTAGATTAGCCACTCAGACGATTAGATAATAATATAGAACCCAGTTCTTTGTGTGTGAACGAAGATGTCTAAACGTAAATGTCTGAAAAGTATTGACAAAACTTAACCGGCTATTGCACTTCCATATTGCTTTGCACTATGCGTAATCTTGAAAAAAAAAAAAAGAAAAGAAAAACACAAATAATTGATATTTTCAAAGAAATTGAATAAAAAAGAAAACAATAATTTAAGTATTTTAGAAAATAATTACACGAATTGATGGAAACGCTCGGTTACAAATTGTTCAAAAGGTTTTGTATACATAATTAACAAAACTGATCAATTTTTAAAAATGATCTATATTGTAAAAGGACAACTTTCTTGTGTCCATCATATACTGTCTACGTTTGATATGGTAGGCGTATTTAAAATGCGCACAATACAGTTTACACATACCCAAATAGGTTATTGTGACTATATATATATATATATATATATATATATATATATATATATATATATACATATATATATATATATATATATATATATATATATATATATATATATATATATATATATATATATATATATATATATATATATATATATATATATATATATATATATATATATATATATATATATATATATATATATATATATATATATATATATATATATATATATA